AGATGATCTTTAAGGTCCCTTCCAACCCAAACCATTCTATGATTCTATGATGCCTTTTGTAGATGCTAGTCCCATCTCTACATCACTCTAAGGTACTGCTTTTCCTTCCTCCTGCCACATCAGTCCACCAAAAGGCCTTTTTTCCTTGCTCAGCCAAGGCTACATTGAAAGGGTGAGAGGACTTGCTGAATCAGGGACACAGCCTCGTGGTTTTTTCTGTTATGGGCTCAGTAAAGTGGCGTTAGTAACTTATGTGTCTCAGGCAACAGACTTTATAGCAAAAAAAAAAAAAAGCTGAAGTGATCAATAGAGCTGTATTAATTTTTTTTGCAGGTTGTTTTAAAAGCTTTGGATCCCAGTTTTGAAATAGAAGATCCATATGTGCCATATATCCAAGGTACGGACAGTACAGTTTTTCTCCAGAAATACTTTGCTGGTGTTGCTTGTTTTGTACACTGTAAGGATGAGAAGCTCAGCGGGTGTAAGTCAATGGTGTTGAAAATTAGGTACCAAAAGATCATAAGGGGAGACATCTATATTAATAAAAAATGGGCCAATCTTGTTCTCTAGCCCTGAGGGCAAGCAGCACAGCTCTGCAGAGCTCATGCATGCAGCTGAACTATCTGTCCTGCTGGGATCAGGTGGCCCAATCCACATTGCCTTTTTGTAGGAGTCCCAGGGCTCTACATGAACCCATGAAGACATTGACTGGGAAAATACAGGTTGGCCCCACCTAGACCCATACCAAGGAGTGTGCTAATGCCTACGCAGCTGTGTGCCAGGAATGGGTCCGTGCCCTGGCACTGTGTGGGTTACTAGTCTGGGCCAATATGAGATCATTTTCACTGTCTCTTCAGTATGGGGGAATTCTTGAATGACTGATCCAAGCTGAAGATTTCATACTGTTCATCTTCGAGTGAACCTGGGCTCTTGATTTCTGTTCTTTCCTTCCAGAGCTCATTACGTTGACAAACCTAAGGATCAATTTTACTAAACTCCACACCCTTGGGGATGCTCTGCTTGGAAGAAGGCACAGTGATCCCCTCGAGAAATACTACTACGCTCTCTATGAGATGGTTGTGCGGGGCAGCTGCTTTTGCAATGGCCATGCCAGCCAGTGTGTTCCCGTGCAGAATCTGCGGGGAGATGTTTTCCATCAGTCTGGGATGGTGCGTTGCTAATGCGCCTTGACAAGGGCAGTCCCTACCTGGTATTCTGGGGGAAGGAAGAGGCGGAGGGAGGGAGAGAAAGAAAGTTCTCTGATGACCATTGGATTGACCGTTTGCAACTCCGAGTTGTAAAATGTTGCAATACAACTTATTCCTTTAAATCCCTGGGGTGGATTGCTCAGAAGGTGCCTCTTCGTTGGCATTAGTATGGTGTTTCAAAAGGAACTGGGACAAGACGTTGAAAATAGCAGCAAAATACCAGAGCTGTAATGGTGCAAATGTAATGCAGTAAGTAGCCTGTGGTGTGTGCAGACTTGAATGGCCACTCTTCGGGTGCATTCCACACTCCAGCTGGGCTCAGGGGCTCTGTGGCAGGAGAGGCATTGGCACAAAGAAGAGCTGATAATGGAAAGCTAAACCATGAAAAATGGATTATTAAAACATTCGGGAACATGATTGCGAATTCTTTCCTTCTGGGAATGAGAGGGTTTTTTCTCCTGGAAAATATCTGTCTCAATACAGAGACATGTGGGGAGAGAGAGAGAGAATTAAAAAAGTTCAAGTCTCCTTTGATATCTGTACAAGTATTTTATTTCTAAATGTTCCTCAGTGGCTTTAAAACTATTTGGTTAAAGTCTGTAGATATTCTCCTGACCTTTTACTCAAATAACTAAGAATTAGTCAGCTGAGGGAGCCAAAGAGCTTTGAATTTTCCTGATCTTGATGGCATACCTCGAACAGATATCTCCTGACCTCTCCTTTCATGTCACCTCACCTTGTCTCTGTTCTCACCACCTTGCAGGTCCATGGGAGGTGTATCTGCCACCATAACACCGAAGGCTTGTCCTGTGAAAGATGTAAAAATTTCTACAGTGATGCTCCCTGGAGGCCAGCTGAAGGGACACAAGATAATGCTTGCAAAAGTAACTCAGACATAATATTTTCCTTTTCAGTAGCTGGGGAATGTATAGCACAATCCTGATCCAATATGTAATGGGACGGCCAGGTTTCTGAGAGGGAGAATTTTCATGCCTCATCTAGAAAAATAGGTGGATTCCTGTATCCATCGGTGCTGTGTTGCCCTACAAGAAGGAGAGCTGCTTCATGTTCTTATTTTTCATGAACAGAAAAAACATAAAAGGGAAAAAAAAGTGACTAATGCAAAAAAAAGATCATTCATTGCTTTGATAGGGTCTTTCTTGTGAATGAAAGAAGAATTTAGACAAAGCAAAATAATTTATTTCCACAATAATGAGTAATGTAGGGTATACAAGAATAATATATTAGGATCTGTAACAAATATTCAGCTAGAACTTTCTTCAGTGGAGCAGTGTTCCCCGCTGTGTATCAGGCACACTCACCTGTGTGGGTACTTTCCAAGTATAGGGCCCAATCCTGTCCTAAGTCTCCCATGTTTCCCCCCAGCTGTAAAGGCCTGGGAAGCTATGATTGTGCTGGTGCACTGACATCATATGAGCAATAAGTGACCCCCTGTCCATGGTAGGCAGCAATGGTGGCAAGACCACAATAATAGGAATCGTGGTGAGAAATATCCCTCTGTTTGTTTGGTTTCAGGGTGTAACTGCAACGGCCACTCTGGCAGATGCCACTTTGACATGGCTGTGTACCAGGCCAGTGGAGGGGTCAGCGGTGGTGTTTGTGAGGACTGTCAGGACAACACCACAGGGCAATACTGTGACCAGTGTAAACGCTTCTTTTACCGGGATCCACTCAAAGCCATCTCGGACCCTCACGCATGCCTCCGTAAGCTTTGATTCTTTAGCTTCTGTAAGAATTACTCAAAACAGGGTAGTTCTGGTTCTCTTTGCTCTGAGACCTATGGCATCCCCATCCTTAAATGTTCATAGGCTTGTAAAAATGTTACCAAGCCTATAACATCCATACTACCTTATATAGTAGCTGCATGATGATGTCATTGAACCAGTGGTGTGCAAAGGACTGCATATTCCAACTCATTGCTAAACTGAGCTTTGAAATGCATCAGGGCTATCATCTTTCTTGAACAATATCAATATAAATAGGAATAGTGCTGTTGCTTCTGTGATAGTCAGGGATTATAGGAGAGGTACAAAATTATGGGAGGAGCCATAAGTTTTGCACGTTACCTAGCATATATTAAAAAAATAAGCTTTCAGGCATGAAAGCCCTTCTTCTGAAAGATCAGCTAAATTCAGTATTAACATAGGATGGGCAAAATTCTCTAAGAATGATTTAATTGTAGTAATTGTTTGTCACGACAAGTCCTTCAGGAACCAAGGGGAGATTACCCAGTGAAGTGGTATGGAAGATGTTAGCCCTGCTATGAGAAATGGGTAATGCCTTAGGAAAAAATGGGATGTGTCATAAAGGCAATGTCCTCTGCTGAATCCATTATTTCCAGTAAACTCAGGTATGGCCAACTCAGACTAGCCCTGGGGAGGTGGCTCACACTTGGTACCCCTCTGCAACCCTACAGCTTTCATGAAGGCATCCTCAGAAGTTATACTCTATAGTTACAGGGCCCTCTCTTCCCCAGGTACTCTGGAAAGGGTAGGGAGTGGATGAGCAACACTTATTTCTATCCAGAACAAAGGGTATATTTCTACAGAAGTGAACACTGCAACTGTTCTCCAGAGAAAAGTAGATCTTGGAAACACTCATAATATTTGCATTAACTGTAAAGCATCCAATACAGTCAGCATGGATGAACATCTCTAATATTTAAAAGAATCCTGAATTTGTGCCTACTTGCCGCTCTGTAATTGCATTTTGATGCTTATATCTAAATGTGGGTTTTTTATATGTCTCTTTGACCACGCCTGTAGCCTGCAACTGTGACCCAGAAGGTACATTGCACAATGGCCTGTGCGAGAGCCGCACAGATCCTGCTCTGGGAATGGTCGCCGGCCGGTGCCTTTGCAAGGAGAACGTGGAGGGTGTCCGCTGTGACAAGTGCAGGGCGAACTACTATGGGCTGAGCGGCAGTGACCCTCTGGGCTGCCAGCGTATGTAAACCACTGCTTTTGTTCTTCTTTCCAAAGCACTTCTAAGAGAGAGAGGTAGTTGAAAGCACAGATGCACACCAATGCACAGATACTACCTCCTTCACAGAATACCCAGTTACTTACTGTAATTTAATGTCAATGTAATTTAATGTACCTGGTGCAGCATCTGAGATGGAAACGATGCAAAATCACTCGCAGAATACATAGTATATTATAACGGATCAGGCTGTTGTGAATACAAGCATTGTTATATATACAATTTAATTGAAAAGAGAGACTGAAACACATGAAAATAATTTTATAATCAAAATCAGCACAAGGGTGAATGAAAAGCCACAGAGGAATCTGTTAGGATACTTGGACTCTGTAGGATAACAGAGCAGGATAACTTCTATTGTTAGGATACCGCTGTGCAGCGTCAACATGGCAGGATCTGCTGCCTCGCAGTGAGAGCTTCCAGCCAGCTCTTCCTTTGAGCAAGGCTCGCTGAAAAACACATCCTGCCCCTACCCAGGCACACCGTGGGTTTGTGGGCACACTATGCCCACTACATGGTCCTCAGCTACGTGCAAGGACTGTGTGGTGCGAATCCGCACACAGCAAACCACCGCACCAGACTCTGCTGGTGCCCCTGAGAGGGTCCCCACTGAGGGAAACAGCCCATTCCCCGGGGTAGCCCGATGGCTGCAGGGTGCCAGGGCATGTCCATCTGCAGAGCATCTGTCCGGAGGACCCACGCTGCCTGTCATGCTGATGCCACATTTAAAGCAATCACCAGTCCTGGTGCCATCTCTGGGGCCCACAGAGGTAACAGCATTTCTCTCCCTGCAGCCTGCAGCTGTGATCCCGCCGGCAGTCTGCCTTTCTCCATCTGTGATCCCACCACTGGAGAGTGCCTCTGCCAGCGATTTGCCACAGGGCGACGCTGTGAAAAATGCCTCGTATGTACTCAGCTTTTGTTATTACTTCTGCATGTGGTTTTAGAAGTTCCCTCTCTCATCTCCTGACTTTTCATAGCCAGAAAAGTCAACAATCAAAATTCAAAATAATTTTACAGCTGTGTGATCCCATTTTGCATTGACACATCTGGTTCTTTTTTAGTGCTTGCAAACATTTGTGCAATCAAATTACACTAGGAGGAGCACTCACGGGAAAGAGGAAATGCAAAATCCTGTTCTCAAACCGTCTTTGCTATTTCCAGAGCAACTTGGTTGCACAAATGGGTACATAGCTGGCTATTCTTGCAGTGGCTGAGCACCCATGCAACCTGATAAGAGAAGCAATCTCACATGGACAGGCATGGACAGGCAGGCCAGGAGTGCTCCAGAGCATCGTTCATCCAGGGGAATAAGTGCTCTTGTGCTTTACATACTTAAATACTTGCCATAAAAAACCTTTCACTTTCTTTTTGTGCCAGGAAGGATACTGGGGTCTTGGCAACAGCTTGTATGGCTGTTCTCCATGTGACTGTGACATTGGTGGGTCCCAGAATAACTTGTAAGTTAATGCTCTTCAAGCTTTTTCTTCATTTTAATTTTTGTAAACTTTAGGCCACACTTTCTAATTAGGTTAATAGAGTCCCAGTACAAAGGGGAAAATAGAATGTAGAAATTATTTCATCATATGCAGTGAAAAGTTATGTTGGGAACTTAAAAATTTGTGATTTTAAAGGGGATTTACTTTTTTCCTTTGAAGACAACTTTGAATTGGCTTGAGTCAGGATTTGCTTAATTTAAAACATAATCTTCATGGTTTAAGAGAACCAGAGTCCCTAATATTAATAGAAATTACAAGTAAATTGGAGATTACATTTTTAACAGCTTTGTACATCCACATTAAAAGCTAGAAATATCTTGATTTTTTCTGTCATACTGGCTCTTATTCCAAATGTATGATTTCAGAAGCAAGCTTGGTTTCAGTTGGGTTCCTTCAGGATTTTGGTGGGCAGGGATCTTCACCACTGCTATTAAGCTTCAGAGCCTAACAGCCCAACATAGGAGCACATAGTCTGATGCCATAGAGTAGCTCCTTGTGAGCAGGTAAATCAAATCATCTGATGTGTTAAGTAAGAGTGTATATGAAAATTACCATATCACATCAAATCAAATGTCCTTCTGATCTCATGTCCTGCCTCTAAAATTCTGGGTGATAGATACTTCAGAATAGTGATAGATACAGTAATAGATAGAGGAACAGATACAAGAAATGGATACAGGTAGAGATAGTAATGGATGCTCAGGAAACAAAAGGACTTGTGCCTCAGGTATGGAATGGATGGAGAAAGACTAAGCATGTCACACCTCCTAAGTGATGAAAATGTAGCATTGAATAAACGGAGGACCGGAAGAAGGAGATGGAAGGGGTAGGTGATAGGAAGAAGTTTAATAGGGAAGGTGATCCAGCAATGGAAGAAACGAAGCAAAGCTGGAAAAAGGGTGAACCTGAGCTGCTTTTTTGCTGTGAGGACACAGCCAAGCCACACTGATATCCTCCCTTTACCAACTCTTACGCTAGGTGCTCACCAAAGGACGGTCAGTGCAAGTGTCTGCCCAACGTCATGAGCCGCCAGTGCAATGAGCCAGCCCCAGGCTACTTCTTTTTGCCTCTGGATTATTATATTTATGAAGCTGAGCATGCCAAGCCCCTTTCTGGCTCTGCACCCTTGGTACGTAGTTGGCTTTTTAGGTGTTGTACTGAGAAGGGACCTGTGCAGTGGTTGCACAGGAGCTGAGGAGAGGAGCCCTCGATCAGGGAGCAGCCGGAGCAGCTCTTGAGCAAGAAGGTACAAAGCAAGTCCCTTGACCGTCCTCAGTTCAGCCTCGTTCTTCATGGATATGACTATCCTGTAACTGTGGCTGTTACCCAGGGACAGTCGCTACAGCGTGCTGTGACCTGCAAAGCTGTCCTTGCTGCTCCTCAAGTGTGGGCTGGTCTAGCATGAATTAGATAAATTAATTTAGTTATTTAAATTATAGGAAAGTGTGTGAGTTGCCAACAGGTATCACAGATTATGATATTTCTGGGAATCTCCAACAGGGAAAGAATCAAATTCCTCTCCATTAGACT